ATAGGATACATCCCACAATTCAACAACTTGAAAAGAGTCGATGTCTTAATATTCAGCATCATGATAGCAATCATTATGCATTGCTCCGCCATGGAAAGAGACGTTTTTCGATCCAAGTACTTGAACGTACTCGACTGGGTGTTCGGTGTGCCTCTTTCTCTATACGAGACAACCCCAAAACGAATTAGGAATCAAACGAGCCTGTGATGAATTTATTTTGATTCATCTGTGAATAATTTGGTTTAATGATATACATAAAGTGCAAGTAGGTATAAGAAACAAACTCTTTTGTATGCATTGTTTCTTGATTATTTTGATTATACAAGTAGCAGAAAATTTTGTAATTTTTTAAACCTTCAAAGAGGTTTATTTAAACTTTTATTTTGTTTTGAATCTAAAGCGGTGTTTGGTTAAGAGAATGGAATTTGATGGAATTGGAATCCATCAAAGGTATTTGACTTTGAAGGAATTGTAATGGAATTTGATCACGCATTTGGTTGGTAGGAATTGGAATGAAATCTCTCAAAAATAATTGGAACAACCATCTTAATTTGGACTATCCCACCCATCGCCCCATCCACATCCTACCAACCACCATATCACTACTATTGTCGTCACAGCTATCACCCCGCCCCACCCCTACCAAAACCATGCCCCACCCCTACTTTATAGGTAGGGGTTATGGCGGCAGGTGGGCGAGGCGGTGAGGGTAGGGCCAGAATGGGTAGTGGGTGGTAGTTGTGATGACTACAGTGGTAGGATGGTGGTTAGTGGTGGGTTGGAATAGGATAAGGTGGCGCGATGATTGTGGTGGAATAGTGGTCGGGTGGCTGCGGCCTGAGAGTGGGTGAGTATGACGACAACAATAGTGGCATGATGGGTTGGGGTAGGGTGGGGTGCAGGTGAGTGGCGGTTGTGAAGAAGACAATACTAGTGTGTTAGGGGCAGGGCAGGGCAGGGCAGGACAATAGGGAGGGGGTAGAATGGGTGGAGGAGTGGTAGTTGTGAGTCTGTGACGACGAAGATGGTGGGATGGTGGTCGGGTGGCTGGAAGTGGGTGGATATGACGACGACAATAGTGGCATGGTGGTCAGTGGTGTGTTGGAGGTAGTGTTGGTCCCGTAAGGGTCTACAAGAAGAGAAACAGTTTGTAGAATGGGGGGGATGAATACAAACACAGTATTTTCAAATTTAAATATATATTGATAGAGAAGATCAATATAGATTTTACAAGATTGTTTGCGGAAAGATAAGGTAATAAAAACATATCTAAACAATATTTGGTTACACACAAAGCTTTAGCAATTACAAGAAAAGAAGTTGCTAAGAGAAATATCATTTACTTAAGCTAGAAGATGCTTGAAGTAAGAATTAGGTTAGAGAGAGAGATGCACGCTCTCTGCATGAAGAAGAAACACTTCTATTTATACCCAGTGCATTAAATGTTCATTTAATGCAATATGGTAGGTTTAGAGTGCGTGTCAAGCCTTAATAGGAAGACTTGTCCTTTGCTACAGTGAATAGTATAGAAGCACTATTTCTGAGCAGACATCCTTACCTAAAGTTGGTGGACAAAGAGTCGACTAGTCGGCTCCGTACCGTACTAACTTTTGTAAGGGTATGAGTTTTGTCCTTTGTGTGCATAAGGACAAGACAACAACAATAGTGCTAAGCAAGCTTCCTTTGATCGCTGAATGCTGGAATGACCTGAAGGTCTCATCATTATTCGTTGAAGCTTGAGCAGTCTTCACACATGTGTAGACAGGCTTGTAATCACTGAATACCGCTTCGGATCACGTACTCGCCGGTCTCTAATCTTCAGTTTCAGTCTTCGACGTTTGCTGAAGGTTCTTTGATGTGAGTGTTGTCTTCTTGAAGTATTGATGTCTCTGATAGATTTACAATGCAAGTTCTTCAACGATTACTGAACATACTTAGTGAAGATCGCTGGAACTGAAAATACATAAACACAAATACAACGTGAAAGAGAAAATGGATTATCATCAAATTACCGAGAGAGATGATCAACAGGTAGGGTATCATGGTGATCATAACCTAAAAATTGATCTTTAATTTTTAAAGGTTTAAAAAATAAACAAACTCATATTTCTTCAGTTACCCATTACAAAATATTATTATAACAAATCGATCATTAATTCAGGTACCTTACAAAATCTATCCCAAATTTTGGTGCAAAAACTTAGATTCTGTAAAAGCTTAGATTTAATATTATATATGGTTTATCTTTCTTGCTATAAACAATCACATATCCCATACCATAGTATCAAAGATGATCCGTCATGTATATTGATTGGTTTGGCCCTACTACTGGTTTTGTATCACAAAAGCCATATATAATATTATATAATATCAATACAATATTATGAAATAGTCAATTTCTAGACATTCATTAACAACTTTGTAAATATTTTCTGCACTAATTAATATATGCTCAACGTTTATCTAATGATCGTTTGTATCTACCTTCATATACTAATTATACTTAATTCCCAAAAAATGTCCATACCTTTATTTTGCGTTTTATAACGATGTATAAATTTTCATAAATAATGCTTCAAAAGATGTCAAAGATATAATTTACTTGACAAATAATAAATTTTAGCCAAAATATGATCTTTTGAGACCAAACGATAACTAAAATATCAGGAATTCTCAAAATTTCATAAAATATAGGTACCCTTTTTGTAAATTCTAAAAGCTTAAATCGTTAAAACAGTGACAAAAATACCATTTTATAAGGTCCAAGGCATTTTTTGTAATTTCTGAAAACTTTTATTAAAATTGGAATCTCATTTCAAAAAGTCTAGGGGCCAACTTCACATTCCAAAAAACTTAAAAGAGTAAATTACACCATTAGTCTATGTGGTTTGTTCAAGATCTAGATACAATCTTATTTTAATAAAATTACAGTCAACTTCTTCATGGTTTGCATTTCGTTACGATCTAGGTCTCTCTCTATCTTTGACAACGTCAAATCTAATTCATTAACTCATGGTCAAATTACTCCTTGAGTTCACAAATTAAGGTTAGTAGAGTTAGATAAAAGGACCTGCTAACCATAAGAACGTTGAATGCAATTATTTTAAAATAAGAACTGTATTTAGATTCATATGGTGTAATTTACTCAAACTTAAATAATTAAACAGGGTCCAAACTACTTTTTAATACTTTGGGGCCCTATTTGGTAATTTAGTCTAGTGGAAACTACAAAGAAATCCTAATATTTGGCCCTTGCACTATGACAAATTCTAAATTTGCACTTTTAACTTTTGATTTTGAATTCTCTTATATTTTAGTCCAATATTTGATATTTGGATGTTACAATTAATTTCATCGATTTGTGATTCATAAGTTTATGAAAGGCCTTTGAACATCGGACTACATATATAGTCGATATAAAAGACTTCCATAACTATTAAAAATACCATAATTAATAGTATCTTAGTAATTATTTCTTGTAATAAATAATGCATATTTCTCATAAGAAAGAGTTCTGCTTGGTTCGTGGGTGTTTGATTATGAAATTCATCGATAGATTAACCAAGGATCAAGTATCATGATAAATATAATTAATTAGTTAATTTAACAACATATATATATCTTATAAAGCTCTGATACAATAATCTCTAGAAAATATATAACACAAAATTTTGAATTTTTTTAGCCTAACTATATAAATAACTCAAGTATTTACTATTTAGCATTCGTGACCATAAAATATAGGGAGATTAATTAAAAGTTGGCTTCATCTTTTAGTCATTTCTCTCACAATATTTAAAAAATGTCACTATCTTTGCAACTAAAAGAGATGAAAGATTAAATAAGAAGTTTTGAATCAGGTCCGCAAGTGTAGGGACCAAGTCTATAAATTAGTCCCAACACTTTCGTGACCTATATCTAATTTACAGATTTGGTCTCTACACTTGTTGACCTAGTTCAAAAACTTCTTTTTTACATTTTGACCCATCTGCAAGTTGAGAAGTTGTCACTTGTGGAGATAATGACATTTTTTGAAATATTGGGAGAGAAATAGCTAAGAGATGAAACCAAAGTCTAAAAATGACTACTTCTTTTAACTTTCCGAAAACATAAACCATTTAATAATAATCAATGGCATAATTGGTATAAAGTGACACAAAAAACTTCATAAGCTTATTGAAACTATATTCCAAGTAGCATTTCAATAAACTAACTTATCAACTAGTTTATGGTCATTCAAATGAAAATTTTCCAATACACTAAAAAACAAGTTAGGTTATGTTTTCAAATAGCCTTAATCATTTACTAGACATTCTTCGAGAGATCTTGATTGTTCTTTTCAAGTATTAGGCTAAACTTGCTTCATAGACTTGGCATAAAAGTCGCACAATTTGCTAATAAAATGAATAGGTCGAGTAATAAGATAGAACATGTAATTTTTTCGATTTGGATTGACCCGTCAACACTTTTTTACCGTATAATCTTTTAATATAATAAATAAATAATGTAATTAAAACGTTGGTATATGCTATTTGGATACAACTTCTTATATACTGATTTTACTTGTTCATTGATACAGTTAAAGCTAATAAAAAGATTTTCAAAGGTTCGAATTCAGACGTTATCAGAGGCTTTATAGCCATGATGGTTCACCTGCAGCAATGACTCCAAGCTATCCATGGTCGTCCAGGACATTAGTCGATGTCCATAAGCTAACTCATATATCACAATTATCCAATAAAAAAATCTAATGTCTTCTATACACAAATTAGAATCAAAACCCAACTGTTCTTTTTTTTTTTAATAAACACAACAAATTGGTGAAAGTTTCCAACAAATATGAGAATACAAGTTTCTCAAATGTACTCATACGTTTTGGATATGTAGAACCCTTTGAGATTTCAGTCTAAAAGAACTTGTATAAAGAAACAAAAAGTTATATACAAATTTAACGGTTTATATCTAAGTACGCATGACTGCAACAATATATACACAAAAAGTATTCCTAATAAAGATTGACAATAATTATAAAGATAAATAAAAAGAGTGTCAATTACCATTAAAAGTAGGAATATTTTACACATTGGGTACTTTTAAGATATTGAAAATCCATAGTAATAATTAATTTAGGTTGATATGTACATCCACCATTTATAGAAACCATATCCATATACCATCGTGTACAATATTGTTCTGAGAGGATACAACCTAAACCTGTAAAAAAAATAACATAAATTGATCAAAAGGAATGTATTATTATGAGACAAGATATATTTGAATAATAAATTTATAATTTTTAAATCTTAATACGTAAGAATTTATTAAAAACATGTTAGATCATCACAAAAATGAAAAATGAAGCGTTCACGACTTTTTTTCACATATAATACAATTTATAGTGAATGTGTGGTTTGTGATAAATAAAAGGGTCCATATTTATCATGAATGTGTGAATCATGATTAATATTCATCCTAAAGAGGGACTTGTTATGTAGTATAAACAGCGTCGGGTTCTAAAATAGGTTTTTAACCAAACTTTCCTATATTATATATATATATATATATACATATATATATATATATATAGGTTGTTTCAAATACAATCTATCGCATTTGTACAACCAATGCAACCCAATAAATTGATATATTTATGAAAATGATGAGAGTTCATTTATTATGATTTGAATATTTATAGAAGATGGATATGGTTCATTAATTATGATCAATACTTTATATCATAAAACAATCAAAACTTCTATGAAATCACATATTAATCAAATGAAATGGACGGTTGAGATTGGGTTGTATTGGTTGCGCAAATGTCAATGATTGTATAATAACCAACTCCTCTCTCTTTCTCTCTCTCTCTCTCTCTCTCTCTATATATATATATATATAGAGAGAGAGAGAGAGGGGGGGGGGCGTGGGGAAAGAGAACGATCAAATGCAAACCACCCCCTTTTGTGCAAACCCTACAAACCAATCTTATTCATCCATTTTCTTGATCAATGATTATGATTAAAATGTGTTATATTTGAAAAGTAAAATATAAAATAAAATAAAAGGTTTAATATTTAATTAATAAAAGGTAAAATTGGCAAACCATTTTAACTTTCAGTTATATTATATTATTATATTAGGAAAGCAAATCATTGTTTATTGACTTTTCTTCTATTGATATAGTTGACATATCATGTTCCTAAAAAACATTTTTTTTTACAGGCAACTTGGCAAAATATATTATTTGGGACTGAACTAGTTAATGAAACAGATTGATGTAATCTGAAACTTGTTTCATACCAATCCAAAACTTGTTTCATACCGGTCTGATTCATGATCGGAATACATCAATAGTGAAATTAGTTATATATATATATATGGTATATTTCAAATACAACCATGTCTTTTGTACAACCAATGCAACCAATTAATTAAGATATTTATGGAAATGATGAGAGTTCATTTATTATGATTTGAATATATATGGAAGATGATTAGGGTTCATTAATTATGATCAATACTTTATATTAGAAAACAATCAAACTTCTATGAAATCACAAATTCATCAAATTAAATAGACGGTTGAGATTAGATTGTATTGGTTATACAAATGTAAAAGGTTGTATAATAACCAACTTATATATATATATATATATATATATATATATAGTTTAATCATTTGAAAACCTCATGTATTCTGATAACTATAAAAATATTGTCATAAGGTATTGTTTCAAACGATTTTTTCATCGAAAGCTAGAATTTAATATATTGGTTATCATATATTTGTTTTAAAATTTATTTGTTTCAAATGTATTTGATTCGTAATGTAAAGCTTTTAATTGTATTTTGTTGTTTCACAAACACATAAAAGAAATTCAGACTTTGAAACGAGAAATAAACACATTATAAAATAAATATATATATATATATATATATATATATATATATATATCTCAATTAATACACTAAATTCAAAGATCATATTTCCTAATTACCAGGTTATCACAATTTTATGTTCCGATCACATGTTATCATATGGATTTGGCTATTTGGAATGGCAAAGTATTGAACCTAGAATTGAAATTGAATTCATCACCTGGAAGAAGATGGAGGCGAGTAAGGAGGATGAAGAGGAGGCAGATAAGGAACAGTCATCGGAGAAATCCACTCAGAAACAGGGCGATCGAAGAATTCCCAATCAGGAAGAACAATACCTCCGATCGCAAACATTCCAAACAGATATGTCGCCATTATCTTCTTCAATGAATATGTGTAGACTCCAATCACCACCATTATCGCAGCTAAACATATCAGAGATTTTCGCAGAGCTGCATCATCCGCCATTAATGGACGCCGGAAAAGTCTGTCAAAGTCGTAGGGTTTTAGGTGAAGATTATCATCATTAAAATGGAGTGAAGATTAGTTGGGTGGGTGGTGCATAAATGCAGCCTTTCTTCATTTAAGAGGGACACATTTTTATTTCAAATTATTTTCAAAAACTTTCACACGAAAATCTATATTATATTATAATATATATATATATATATATATGATAAAAACTTTTAAAAATCATTTTTTATATATAAAATATTGTTTATTGATATATATTATTAAAATTTAAGATTACAAATAAATTATGTATAAGTACAACTTATTAAAGCTTTATATTTGAATTTGTGTAACTAACTGTAGATAAACATAATCAAATATTAAATAAAATCTCATTTTAAACATAAAAAATCTAAAATATAATTAGAATAATCATTAAGTTATAACAGAATACTTAGTTATTATTTTTATAAAAAATTACATTATTAAACCTAAATTAAAACTTTTTTGTTACTAAACCTAAACTAAATTATAATTAAAAAAATTGAATTAAGAAAATTACGCAAAAATACAAGAACTTTTAAAAAGATTAATTTGATACTGATATTTTTTTTTTCAAAATTTTATGATATTTTTAAATTTATATTTTATTAAAAAATAAAAACATTATCGTTTTTCATTTTTAGTCTTTAAATTCTTTTCTTAACCATTTATCTACCTAAATGTCACAAATATCATTAAGCCCCTAAATGGTAATTCATAATTTGTGGGGGTTCAAAATGTAAAAAAAAAGTTGTACAAATACAAGAACCAATTTTATAAATTAGATAAAGGTCTATTGACACATCTGTCACACTTGGAAGTGTTAGGACTAATGTACATGTTTGGTCCATGTACTTGCAGATTTAGTTTAAAAACTTACTTTTTTGAAATATTATAAGATTGATTAATAGCTAAGAGATGAATCCAAAATTTGAAAATAGATACTTTAGTTAATTTCCCGCTTTTACCATTTTAAAAAGTATTTTTTATGTTTTAAAGTAATTGTCTAAATTTCTATTTTCTACGTATCCACTTTTTTGTTTATCTTTTAATTGGGAGATGAACTTTTTTGTTTATCTTTTAATTGGGAGATGGAGACTATTTCTCTACTCTTAAGAGTAAAATTGTTTTTAATTAATTAAAAGTTGTAATAATTACAAATTACTAAAAATATATGTTTTTTTTATTGTAAATATTTATTTTAGGACAAAGTAAATATAACTTTGCAGAAAAAGTTGCATTTTTTCCAATAATAAGAACTTATTTTATTTTATTTTTAATTTAAAGTATTTATTAAAATTAGGGTCACTAAAAAAATCTAAACAACAAACCGAACACAATATGAAAATAAACGATTTAACTCAATATATCAATTAAGTAGGTTAGAAATCAAGCTCAATTTAATTCAACTCAATAAGTTATTTTAGCAACATAATAAGCATATCATTTTTGGTTTTTTTTTTCTATTATCATATTCTTATTTTTCTATGGGTTTATAGAATAAATTAGTTATGTACTGGTGGGATGTAATGCGATACAAAATTTTATTATAAATTAAGAAGGAAAAATTAATGTCATTTTTCTTTAAATAAAATCTATAGATAAGATAAAATACAAGTGGTATTTAAACATGTTTTGTGAATTTGAAAATTTGTTAAAAGATCCAAGACTATCTTTACTCCAGCCATGAGTAAGACAAAACTATTTAAGGAAAAAAAATAAAAAGAAGCAAATTGACATAAATCAAATGAAAGACCGTTTTGCACGATTTTAACGAAGGTGCAAACAAATGATTGATGCATACAAAGAAGCATATCGATAAAAAAAAAGAGCGGAATTAGTGTGAAAGATGTTGAGAAAGAAGCTCATGCAATTTATGAGATAGGTAGGAGCAAGTTTAATGACTTGCTTGTTTTTAACGAAGTTATGTATAAACATCCCAAGTGGGATTTACAGTTAGAACGTGACATGACACATTCTCGTCCGGAATATGAAGTGGATAATGAAGAAAGTGGTGGAAGCACAGAAGAAGGAGATTATTCTGCCAAGAATCGTAAATGTTGGTGGTTCAATAATTCAACATCCTATGAGTAAAGATGCGGCAAAGAGAAAAGAAAAAGGTAAGGTGGTCGGTTATATTTCACACCTTTAGACTGATGAAATTAGGCCACAAAGCAAGTATACAATACGACCCAACGTCGTCTTTCTAAGTAATAAAGTGGTACAAGTACCGGATTATCGTCCATAGGGATTGTAGCCAAAGTTAGATTAGAGTCCAATGAAAGAGATGATTTCAGATGACAATTTTGAAGACTTTTGATTGATTGTAAGGTGATCCAAAACAGAATACATAATATATAAAAGAAGCAAGGGTGTAAGACTTAAGGTGAGACCCAAACACAAATTCCAGCAGCCAATGCTATAGGAATGCTACAACAAGCAGTGTTTCGAAATTAAGTTTCACCATCTATTTTGAAGGTATTCATCTCGGACTTCACCATTGCACTATCTTATAGCTTTCCACCCATATCTCTATGTGGTGTCCGGACCGGGGATAGTGACACGATGGTGTTTTCAAAATATATGGATAAACAAATATTTTTGTTAAAAATCACTTTCTCGAGTCGATTCCCATATCATTCGAGTTGGCGTGTTCTTGATAGTTCATCTCTGAATCTATCACACTTTGACACCTTTGAAGAGCAACCAACCCGTCGGGAATTAAGTTTTGAAAAACACAAATGACAAGTCTCCTTGTCGGCAACTTTCTCAAGTCTACCTCTTATGCCATCCAAGTTGACGTGCTTATTGATGGCTTATCTCTAAGTCCATCGCACTTTAACACTTTCAAGTGATCAACCCGTCAAGAAGTGTGCTTGGCTTTATAAAAACTCGAATGAAACAATGAAACGTCGTTTTCGAAAACACGGTTTGAAAATCTCACATTTCTGTCTCACACCCAAGCTATAAAAGCTTAGCTACTCATAACGGAAAGTAAAAAATAAATGACGGAAAATAAAGACATAAACGTAAATTGCGTAAAGTAAATAACGATAAAATAAATGACGAAAATGTAAATGACGATAAAATAAATGACGGAAATGTAAATGACGAGAAAATAAATGACGGGAATGTAAATGACGAAAATGTAAATAGCGGAAAATAAATGACGAAAATGTAAATAGCGGAAAATAAATGACGAAATGTAAATAACAATAATCGTAAAGGAACGCAAAGTAAAGAACGTAAAATAAAATACGAGCATATTAAAGAAGAAAAGATGAAGAACTTCAAGAACTTAATTAAAACCACCATTGGAGAGAGTTTACAATACTAGCAAATAGAATGAATGAAAGTAGGAGTAATAGATGATTTAGAAGGCACCCCAAGCCTTCTTTTTATACTCAAAATGGGTCATTAGAAGACAAAAACAAAAGACTTAGAGGCTAAGTATTCAAAAGTAAGTTACAACCCAACAAAAGAGTAACTAAAAAGTACAAAGGCCTAACCAAAGTCTAACATCAGATTTTTCAATAAAAACCCAGCTTTTACAGCTGTCTTCCACCTTCCAAAAAGTCAGCGTCTTATCCATTAAGCCCTCCAAAAAGCTGCTCATGAATCAGATCGACGCTGCACCAATGCTGCAGTATCTGCTGTTTTCACAAAAACTCTCTATTAGCTTCATCCAAGCATACCAACAAGTCAACCATAATATTTAGCTTCATAATAACAAATGTATAAAGAAATACATGAAAATGACTCAAAGTGGGAATAAAAAGAAATTATTATAACTAAAAAGACGTAAAATGAGTGCTTTATGTGTTAAATTCTCAACACATATCATAAGACATCACAATCTTCTTTAGCTCCTGACTATTTTGAAGAATTTTGTGCATTGAACATCACAAGAAACGATGAGATTGAAATCATGACCAAAAGACTTGAATTTGAAAAAGAGAAAGACTTGAATTAGCGAGAATCCCATAAGAATTTGCATATATTTGTTGGCGAAAGAACATATGTCACTAGGAGAGAAGGCGTTGAAAGAACGTCTTTTGAAAATGTTGTGTGAATAGTGGTTCATTGAAATTTAGAATTCTTTATATGTAATTTATTATTTCGTGTATCTGTTTGTAACTTGTTTTTCAAGTGTGCTATCTGAAGTTTGTTCTTATGTTTAAATGAATGGTTCACATGTCATTGTCTCCCAATAATGACATATCTTTTTCACTCAGGTTCACATACCATTGTCTCCTAATAATGCGAGCATTTGGAGTTCTTCAAACTCATTTTGCATTTATTCGAGGACCATGTCTTGTTTGAGACGAATTATGATAGCTTGTATCATCATGCATAATATGATAGTTGAACATGAACGAGATACATACCAAAATTATTATGATCGCATTGAGTTTCTTAACGACATGCCAACAAATCAACAACAAAGAAGCGCTACAGAAGATGATGGTTAATCAACTGAATTCTCTACTGAACAGATTCCAAACCTATCTCGTTATATGGCTAACAGAGAAATAACTTCGCAATAGGAAAACTCATAATGCTCTAAAAATGAATTGATTGAGTATATATGACAAAAATTCAATCATGATAATTAACTACAATGATTTATGTATTTCAAATATGTAATTTTGTACTTATTTTTGTGACTTGTTTTATTTAATTTCAATTGTATGGTAAGTTTTTTATAATTATAATTACGTTTTAAAATATGTAATGATGCGTTTATTCTATTTTTATACTTAAAATTAAAAACTAATAAATTATATATAAAAAACTTAAATATATGATTATAAAATAATATTTAAGATTAGATTGCATTGGAGAGAATTGTGGTTAAATGATAAAAAGAAGTAAGATTGGATTGATGTTGAAGATTCTATAGGTGGATGAAAGATAAAGTAATATTTTAATTGAAATTGAGTTGTAAAGGATTATGAGTAAAGATAGTCTAAAAATATATATATATATTGATATTGATGTTAAATTAAATATTATATCTTATTTATAATTTAGACAGTAC